TCCAGCAGAGAGAACCCGAGGGGCTTCCCTTGTGGTTCTCAGCCTACTTCAGCTGCCTTCGTGCACCTCTGGCAACAAGAAGTGAATTAGAAAAACAAAAGATAATTATCCATCTTCTTATTTTGTCCCCAAAAGGCTGAGCTCAGTTTGGTTTGTTAAATCTCTACTCTCTCATCTCCGCTGCTCCAGCAGGACAAGGTCTTTAATGCATGAGTTTATGTAATGCATGTGCAAATTATTGCCCTCAGAATGCTTTCTTTTCTGTCCGTTTCCCTTTCAGTAAGTTTCGGTTGAAGGCTTACCAATTACTATGCAAGTGTCGCTGAGGAACAGGGGACTGAAAAGAGGCACAGCCGCTGCCCTCAAGGGGCTGGCGAGTCTAATCAGAAAGTGATATTAGATTACATGACAAACAATTGCAAATCATGATGAGCTGGATGAGGGAGAAGTCCAGGATATTAAGGGGGACCTGACCTCTGGCAAGGGCCATCAGTGGTGTCTCATGATCTTTAAGCTGACACCCCAATTAAGAGGAGAAGTTACCTAGCTAAACAATAGCAAGGGGCAATGAGCTGATGTGTCTGGTTTCAAATGTCAAAAGTCTTTGGGTTTCCTCTTCTGTCCAAGGGAAAGCTTGCATGGGACCTGGGAAGTAGATGGTACCTGCCTTACTATTTGATATGAGATCTAGGAGACAAGGACCCTGTCAACACCATAGTGTCTGGCACATACTACATGTACATATTTGTTCATTGAAAGAGAAAATAGCAAGGGGTGGGGTGGGGATTCTACACAGGGAACAGCATGTGCAAAGGCTCAATGTGTACTCACCCCTTGCCTCCTCTGTGTAAATGTTAATATCAGTCAACAAATACTACTATTTAACCTGTACCTACAATGGATACACACACACACACAGCCTTCTTTATGAGATTAGGTCATCATCTTCACAGCTAGGGAAATTCCAAGGTCAGGGTTCTTCTCTCTTCCATGATGATGACTTACAAGTTGTTCATGCCCCACTCCCCACCCTAGCAGATCGGAATCTTAACACAGCTCTTATCTCAGGAATGGGTGATGCCAGTCATCAGACCGGACTCCCGTGTGCCCAGAGCCCAGAGGTAGGCAGAAAATACTGGGGTCCAAGAGCCAGGGCCTCCTGATCCAACCCAAAGTCAAAAGGGATAAATAACAATAGCAGAGATGTATTGAGAGCTTACCCTGTATCAGGCACTGTTCTAAGTGTGTTACTTATATTAACTCATTTAGTCATCCCACTCACCCCATGAGCATGACACTTGATCATTCCCCTTTTACAGATGAGGAAACTGAGATACCGAGATATTAACTGACTTGTGGATAACAGCACCCATCATACTTCCCCCACCCCTTGTCCCTCCTCAACTCTTCCTGCTGATGGATCGTTGCCACCTACCATTCACCAAGCTCTGTACATATGTTGCTTCATTTAATCCACATGAACCACTGGGTGGAAAGTGGTTCTTTTTTTTTTTTATTAAAAAAGTTTTTTTCAATCATAGTTTACATTTGATATTATTTTATATTAAGCATACAGCATATTGGTTAGACAATCATATACTTTACAAAGTGTTCCCCCTGGGGAAATGGTTCCTATTCCCATTTTACAGAGGAGAAAACAGAGGCCCAGAAAGAGAAGTAACTCATCCCAGGCTCCTGGGTTAGAGAAGATCTTGATGCCAGGTCTGCTTGATTCCAAAACTCATGTGCTTTCCCCATCTCCCAAGTCAGGTAGGATTCTAGTGCAAAAAGCACAGAATCTATTTAAAAAAAAAAAAAAAAAAAAAGAGCCCCTCTTTCTAGTCCTCCTTCTTCCCATCCTACCATCTTCTGCAGTCCTCACCCAGGTAATATATCCACAGTGGTATCATCCCCTCCACACAGTTGAAAAATGTTAAGAAAATGTGAGAGAAAGAGCATCCAGCCTAGACTTCAATCCCCTCCCTTAAAAATGGAGATAAAAATCCCTAAGTCCTAGAATTACTTAGTAGATTGAGATCATGTCTGTTATGTACTCACATAGAGGCACTTGAGAAATTCTTCTTTGCTTCCTTCCCCCAACTTGTTCTTTCCAGTCATTCAGACGCCTTGGTTTGTGCGAGTCCATCTAGTTCCGGTGGGCATCCATTCCCACCACCAGACAAGGCTCGATGTCCCTTGAGGACAGAAATGTTGCCCTCTCTTCCAGTTCCATCTGGGCATTGTAAGGTGCTGTGTACACCTACGGCCACATACAAATAATCACTAATAGCAGTAATAAACCACTCTGCTTTCATTTGCCGCCAAGCAAAGCGCATTCTGACATGTCTCCTAGAATAGACAAGCCCATGGCTGCACAGATATGAGAAGTTATTTTCCAAATGGGCATTTTCTTTGGAAGACCTAATTTAGCCTCATTTTTCAGCAGGCTACATTCTTGAGCCCTCTAAGTACAGAGATTCCAACTGGCTGGGGTATATCCTGGGCTCAAGTGGGGGCCAGGGTTCAAAGGAAAGAAGATTGTCAACTGCAAGAAGCAGACATTGGCTGGAGTGCATCATACAGGTGGATAAACTGAGACCCAGAGCTGGGAAAAACAAAGCAACGATAATAACCATCCTGGCTACTGTTTATCTACCTAGAGGCGATGGGTGCTAAAGGCAGTTTCAGAACAGAGTCTCCTCCAACCGGAGGCAATCAGCCACTAGCTAGAACAACCTAAATGAGCCCCAACATTTTCAAGACTGCTAATACAAAATTTTCAGGCTTTTCAGGAAGCAATTTGGTATATGTGTCAAAAGACTTGAAAAAGTTCATGCTCTTTGATATAGTTGTTTCCCCTCTCAGAATCAGACATTAACAATCAACAATATAGATAAAATAAATGCATGAAAAGGATCACTGTAGCTCAGTTATTTTATTGGACACCAATTACATGCCAGTCAGTGTGTGGCACTATCCTGAGATAGATTAGACTTCAGGACACCCAGGTTCACTTAGTCCCCTCCCTTCCTCAGGGAGGTAATGTAGTGACAGAATAGAGGGAGCCTGGGAATTAGAGGGACCTGGATTTTTTTCTTTCCTTTTCTTTTTTCCTTTTCCTTTTCCTTCCTTCCTTCCTTCCTTCCTTCCTTCCTTCCTTCCTTCCTTCCTTCCTTCCTTCCTTCCTTCTTTCCTTCCCTTTTCTCTTTCTTTCATTCACTTGTTTTTTCAGCCTGCCCAGGCTGCCTTCTGTGACCTGAATCCTCATTTCTAAAAATGGGGCCAGAATCCCTACCTTGAAGTTCAGCCACAAGAATGGAAAAAGGTTCCAAGCCTGAGAACAAGTATATTGGTACCCAAAATCTTTCTTGATTCAAGAAGTCCAGGCTTTCACAGTTCCAAGCAGTTCTGGATTCCCAGAGGGGCCTACCTGTGACCGTGTCGTAGAGCTGGACAGTGTCTGCTGTCTTACCTGGAGAGGCTAGGACCTGACAAGGCTTCACAGATGCACAGAGAGGCACTTCTGGTGCCCCTGGGCCTGCCTACCGCTCGGGCCACCATCTAGGGGCCAAGGAGCTGGAAAGCTGGAAGCCCCATTATTACCCTGTGAAGTGAGGTGCATCCTCCCCTTGTGTGTTCAGTTGTAAAGTGGGTCCCCACAGCAAGGCTGTTTGAGCCCTTAGTGTCACCGAATGCAATGAGGCATTAGGCTCTTTGAAATTGAGGACGTAGCCCTTTGTTCCCGGGGACACACAGTGGGATGGGTTTTATTAGTGCCTGTGCTTACCTTCCTTGTGAAGTCTAACTCATTATGCCCAACAACTTGATGTTAAATTCTCTCAGGGTCCTCAGCCTTATCCTGCGATGCAGCCGTGCAGCCCAACACCCAGCTCTGTCCTCTCTGGGTATGTCCAAACCTCTGTGGTGGGCGGGGTTCAGTGTGTGGGGTGAAGTCTCCATTTACCCCCGACATCCACACTCCACTCTCTGCCACTCCGGGAGGCTGAGCCCATCCACCCGGCTCCCTTGCCCGCCGGCTTCCATGCCAGCGATGGAGAGCACCAGCAGAAGAGTGGAAAGGGAGAGGAATGGGGCATTGCTCCCTGCTGCACTGTGTTTGGGCAGAGGCTGCCTCTTCTCTCCATGGTCACAGCTCCCGGTGGCATGCTCACCAAATTCCAGTGACCTCCCCTTCTCCTTGCCTTTTCCCACCAAGGATAGTCATGGCTCTGCTGCCGCTGCTAACCCTGGAATGCTTCATCATCCCTTAGCCCTGACCACCTTGGAAAGTCTTCAGATAGAGCTGGAGGGAGGGAGGGAAGGAAGGAAGGAAGGAAGGAAGGAAGGAAGGAAGGAAGGAAGGAAGGAAGGAAGGAAGGAAGGAAGGAAGAGGGCGGGAGGGAGGGAGGGAGGGAGGAAGAGAAAGAGAGAGAGAGACACACACACATCGATTGGTTGCGACCCGTGCAACCCCAACCAGGCCCGGGACTCTTTGGTCCACGGGTGATGCTCTTACCGCTGAGCCATACCGGCCAGGGCTGAACTCTTTTTAAATATCCCCCTTTGAATGTGTTCTCTCTCTCCATCCCGGACCCTCAGCTCCTTTGCCATCAGTGAATGTAAGCAAACAGTGCAACCACCTCAAGCCCCATTCTCAGTCCAGACAAGCAGCCTTGTTGCTCGTAGAGATGAAGAGTGAGCTCTTTCAGATCCAGGTTAGAGATGAAGAAAGGCTAAAGATAAGCACTTGGAAAGACATCTGAGGATGAGCTCTTTTCAAAGCAAACAGCTTTGGAATAATGGCAAGTTTTGTTATGACTGGTGAAAGCAGGGATGGGCTACAGCTAACAGCCGTGTCTGCCTGCTTCTCAGCCCTGCAGCTCCAACACACACAGACGTTCTGGAATGAGAAGGAGAAGGATTGCAGCTAAAATCCCCGATCTGATTGGGGTAGGAGACGATGACAGGATGCGAGCATGTTGGAAAGACCCAAGTTAATAGTTTAACCTCTCTCAGCTTTTCACAGAGGAAAAGAAGCAAAGGTGAGATGTTTATTTTCAAAGCAAACAGCATATTTCTTATGTTCTTAGATTTCTTATGACAATATCTCCACTTAATGGCCCTATCATGTCTAATAACTTAGGAGATAAAATACGGTTCTTTGATCTGAGCTAGTCAAGAAGAGTGACAGCATCCTACACAAAAATGTAGTGCCTTGTCTAATTGTGTTGACTTCTCATTATTGGAAAGTCTCACAACTAGTCAAAGAATTTTTTTAAATGTATCAAACTATTAACCATTTCTTGGCTCCCACCCCCTACTCCCCACACACCCATTTGAAACTGACAGCGATTTAAGCGGGGGGGTCAAAGTTGAGCATGACTCAGCTCTGGGTGACAACTAACAAAAGTTTGCTGATCAAGAAGTGGGTCCTCCCTCCCAGTGTGTATTTCCTCTTCCAATCTGGGGTGCTTATGCCCATTGGAGCCTGAACAGAGTATCCACTTGGGCTGAATTCTCTAAATGTGGGATTTTTATCCGGCCATCGGAGGTCACAGAGCACTTGTACATGAGGCTCACTTGTCTGTAAAAGCTGAAAAATAGAAATGCATATGTCTTGCTCTCTACTGGAAGGACTCACCATCTAGTGGGAGGGACAGGCATTTCCTCCCTGGGTGATCTTGGGGATGTCACCTCCTCTTTCTGAGCCTCAGTTTCCCCAAAGGCAAACCGGTTTTCTGGCAGGGCAGTGGCTTGTAAACTTTAGATAATGTCAGGATCACCTGGAGGTCTTTGTACAAAACAGGTTGCTGAGCCCCAGAGTGTCTGATTCAGTAGGTCTGGGATGGGGGGCTCCTGAGAATTTTCATTTCTAACAAGTTCCCAGGGATGCTGATGCCGATGGGGGACCGCACCTTGAGAGCCACTTTCAAGGCCCGTTGGGGTGGATTACATGAGTTAAGGTGTGTGGAAGGCCCGGCACAGTGGCTGTCCGGGCTTTGCTCAGTCACTCCGTATGAACCACAGACCTACACAGCATTGTGTGAGCACATGGGGCCAGGTGAAGAGAAGGAAAGTCTTCCTGGAGGTCATTTGGCAACAGAGGCCAGAAGGAAGAAATGCGCAGCGAAGCCCATTTGGGGCACGCCAGCCCTCTCCTCCACTAAGGAAGACCATTTAGCATTTTCCTCTTGAGGTGATGGTTTTCAAATGTTTTACCGCAACCCACTGGAAGAACTGTATTTTCTATCACGACCCTGAAAACACATGCACGTCTGTTACAACAGAAACAGGACTTTTCCCTACTCTGCGAGCGGCACGCTATGATTTTCCGTGTTAATTCACCTTAAAGGTATTGATTGCACAACTTATTAACATGAGCTTAAATAGATTCTGTAATAGATTCCACACAGGGTACATCCCAGTCAGATTTAGAGGGGCATTTAAATCAGAACTGGGGCTGGGAGAGAGGAGGCAGGAACACTTTCTTCTACTAGCTAACCCTGTCAGGTGCTTATGAGGAGTTGGACTCAATGATCAAATGGAGCTAAGTTCCAGATAAACAGATTAAAATACACACACACATTTGTGTGTGTGTGTGTGTGTGACTCAATCCTCATATATACGCTCTGAAGTAAATAGCATTATCACCATCTTCAGCCCCCATTTTACAGATAAGGTTAAGCGAGCTGCCCAAAGCCAGCCAAGGCAGAGCTGGGACCCAGACCTAAGACCCCGAGCCCCAGGTTCTGTATTCACAGTCACTGTGGCACAATGCGTCTCTGTGCTAAGGGATTGCAATCCACAGACTGGAAATCTCTCCCTGGACACTCTAGTCATAGTCCATTCATTGGATCAACAAACAACTAAAGGATTCCCATTCAGAGTCCTGCATGTTGGCACAGATCTAAATAAATTAATTTATTTTTATACGAGTCCCTATTAGGTGCCGTGCTGTGTACCAGGTATTGGAGTACATGTCAATTAGTTAATTCACTAGCTTACACACTCCACGTGTAGTCACTGACACTTGCTCTTTGCCCACCCTTGTGCTGGAGCAGCCATACCTGGGCCTGAAACCCAGGATTTGGGGGCTCCAGGAAGGATCAGGGACCCTCCCTTGGTTTTGTATGCACCAACTGATCCTTCTAGATCCCTTCTTTTTCCCTCAAGAAGCAGAAGACCAGGACTTTCTCCTTGTTTCTCCCTTCCTGGAGGCTACACACATAAAATGCCAGGTAAGCAAAGTCGCTTTATGTTTGGCATTAATAAAGCCAAGTTTGTGGTGGCTGGTTTGGTTAATAGTTGCTCCACTGTGTGCTGTGGGCAGTGGGAGCTGCCCGGGAACACCTGTTAAGTGAATTCTGTGGTCCTGTGTTTGGTCCCATTCTGCGGACTCCCTGCGTCTATCAAGATGCCCTGCAATGGGCTTTGCTGCCAGAGAGCGGGCAGCCTGGCCTTTTGGGAAAACCCTCTGCTAGTGGTTAAGCCAGAGCTTAGCTTGATTCCTTTACATGACTCCCAAGGTGCACACTCACCAGCCCGAGTCTCTTCCCCACTGGACAGATTACCTAGACTTCGGCTGTGGTTCCAGTGGATCAGGCTAAGTTAGTCTGAGCTATAAAGCCGGTTCTCTGTGCTTTAGTCTTCCCCCTCTGAGCTTCTGCTTCTCTCTGTGCTGATCTGATTCAGAACATTGTTTCTTTCTGATCGTTTCTTTATGGGTGGTAAAGATGTGGGCTTTGAGTCAGACAGACCTGGAGTTGAATTCCAGTGCCACTACCTGCTGACTCTGTGACCTTGGCCAGTGGCTTGCTCACCTGAACCTCAGTGTCCTCAACAGAAAAGGAGGATGAGAGAATGCATGCAAAGGTCGGCAGAGACTAAGGAGACATGACTAAATGCACGATTGTGTCCTGAATTCAGCCATGGGACAGAAGAAGGACATCAGTGGAAAAACTGATGAAATCTGAATAAAGTCTGTAGTTTAGTTAATATGTCATACCAACGTTAATTTCTTAGTTTCGACAAGTGCACTTTGGTTATATGGAAGATGTTAATATTAATGGTCCGCTGGGTGAAGGCAACACAGGAGCACCTTGTGCTATCTTTGCAACTTTCCTGTAAATCTAAGAAAATTCCCAAATAAAAAGTTTAAAAGAAATGCATAGAAAACCCTGAGCACATTATCTGGACCCAGTAAGTTCTTGAAAAATGTTAATTATCATCATCACCATCATCATCATCATGATCTCATTTATTCCTCACAACAACTCTATCAGGTAGGTATGATTATCAGCCCCATGGTGCAGATTTGGAAACTGATACCCAGAGAAATGAAATCCTTACCCAAGGTCACACAGCAAAAAGTGACAAAGCCCAAATTCGACCTAGCTCCAACATCCATGCTCTTGCCCCCTCTGCCTCCCGTTCCACCGCAGACTGGGAAAACTTGGATTCAAGAGATACCTCTGCTGTGGACCCCGGGCAAGTTGTTTAACCTCTCTGAGACTCAGACCCTTTATCACTGGCATGGAAATGAACTCTTAGGTGTAACTGAGAAGGTAATAAAGGGACTAATAAAAAGGAGGAGATCAGTTAATTCTAGATCTCCAGCCAGCAATGTATTTGACCCCCTCTTTTGGATAACTGCCTCCTTTTAGGAGCACACTGGGGGAAGCAGCAGGGATTCTTACCTGGCTGTCAACTCTGACTCTGCTACTTAATCACTGAGCAGCCTTGAACAAGCTACTTCACATCTCTGAGTGTCAGGTTATTCAAGTATTAACTGAAGATAAAAGTCCCTGCTTCAGTGGATTGTGGAAGGAATTAAAGGGTCTATCAGAAAAACCCTCAGCACAATGCCTGGCACGTGCTAAGTGCTCAGTGAATGGTAGGCGCCATTCAATATAGAGCTGATTCTCTCTTCCAGGCACACAGTAGGGTTGCACCTCTCGGCCCTCTGGTGATTGGGTAGAGCCATGGGACATTTTCTAGTCAATGAATTGTGAGCAAAATGTGACATTTGTCACTTCTAAGCCAGAACATTTTATTAGCCCTGGGAGACCCTTCAGATCCCCTTTTCCCCTTGGACACATGATCATAAAAGAGATGGTGGCTGCTGTCTCATCCTGAGTCCCTTTGTGACCTATGAAGAGCATCCCGGTATTGATCTATGATGGACCTGCAGCCTGAGTGATAAATAAACATTTGTTGTGCTAAGCCGCTGAAGTGGGTTGCTTATTATTGTAGCAAAACCAAGCTTATTGTGACCTGTATAGCAGTTACATTAAAAATGATTATAATTTTTATTTCCTATGATACTAAAAAGGAAGTAACAAAGTAACATGTTCATGGCAATTTACAAAGCATGTTTATCATCCCAACAAGCTGTGATTTATCTCCATTTTACAGATGTGGACATGGAGGTCAAAGACACTTGTCCAAGGTCATGCAGCTGGAAAGTAACTGAATCTGGACTTGAATCTGGCTTCAAATCTTCAAATTTGCCTATTTATAGCATGCTTCCCAGCCACAAGCTGTACCATTCAAGATAAATTTGGGTCGAAACTTGGATCTTTGAGAGGTTTCTGGGAGGTGGTGACAGGCTAAACTTTACTTTGTTCTCTTTCCATCTCTGCCTCTCACATCTTGCTTTGCTCTTTCATAATTTTAATATCTGAAACCTCACACCGACCATGTAAGTAATGTGGATGTTTTCAGAAAACATGTGCTGGGCATATGATTTCGGCTTAAGCTCTAGTGCTTTGTAATACCCATATTTTTCAACCAGACAGATACTTCTCCGCTCCTCAACTCCATCGGATGTTGTGTCTTCACTGCAAGTTTATTTTCGAGTCTTACCCGAGCTCCAGCCTCTTACTTTTTCTGTGGCCCCAAATAAGTTATTTACTCTGGGGTCTTCATCTATGAAGTGGGATCATGAACCCCACCTTCCCTGACTTTGAAAAGTCTGTAGAGCACTATATATATATTTGTGATTATCCAGCACTTATGTATTCAACAGCAAACATTTATTGAGCACCTACTGTATATAGTGCTGGGGGTCTGGCAATAAGAAATGGATGAGATGCTGTGTGTGCCTTCAGGAGCCAGTATGCTGTCATGGTTGAGAGCACAGACTGTGGAGTCAGGGAAACCTGGGTTCCAGTCCTTATTCTGACACTCCTTTGTGCTCTGAGTTTTATTTCTTCAATGGCAAAAGGGTGATGATATTAATATTTACCTCAAGGTATTGTTGTAAGGTTTAAATGAGATGATGCTAGAAAGGGCAGTGCCCGACAGGTGAGAAACATTGAACAGGGTCATCGTGATTAAGCAGTTTGAGGACATGGTGGGAGCTCTATAAATGTCTATTGACAGATAAAACGAAGAGCAGAGCATAGACAGGAATGAACATGGGCAAAGGTCCTGGCTTCCAGGAGGAATCTGGCTAAGCTGACCTCCACATGGGCTAAGACAAGGCCCCTGGGCCTAGGCCCTGGAAAAGGGTCAGCAGCCTCGAGACCCTCTACTGCAGAAGTGCCCGTCAGGTGTCAGAAGCCCTCAAAGCCACCAGGACATTCCTGGCCCCTCCGTGGTGTGTACAAAAACATGCTTCTAGCCAGCGCTCCCGACTCGGGCAAGCAAGTGTTAACGTGAGAAGTGAGAAATGAGAAGTGAGCATATGGAATGCCAATATAATGTAGACATGTGGGATTAAACAACTCAGTGGCACGGGAGCAGCCGCCCTCCAGGGTCTAACACTCTGCTGGGTTCCTTGGGTTGGCATGTACTGCAGGTTCCAGGCTTGGAAAACAAGCTTCCATCCAGGGCTGAGGCCACATGTGAGGGACCAGGGCTTTGGGGTCGGGCAGATCCAGGTTTGAATCCTGGCACTCCACTTTCCCTCTGCAAGATCTTGGCAAGACACAACACCCCTTGGAGCTCAGAGCCCTTATTCGTCAAGTGGGGGTGGTACCACCTTTCTTGCCAGGTTTGCTTGTGTTATTTTTAACGGTGGGCAATTATTGGGTGTATTTTACATGCTTTTCCTGTATCCACTCAACTAATACTGACAATAACCCTAGTATGGGTTATTATTATCGCCATCTGACAGATCAGAAAACTAAAGCTCCAAGAGGTTACAAATCTTGCCCGTCACAGGTGAGGGGCTGAGGTGGGACCTGAACTCAGGTCTGCCTGACACTATGCCCACGCTTTCCCCACTCCCAGTGGGAGACATTGGCTCTCATTTCCTCCACTTCATATATTCCTGAATCTGGGAAGACGTGGGGAAGAAACCCAAAATTTTAAAACCAATTTAAATAATTAAATTTGGCAGCAAAAAGCTCAGTATCGGAAATACATTTCACCACCCCATCGCTGAATCTGTTTAATGTATTTTGAACCAGCTTAGCTCCGTTAGATAGGAAATGGAGCAGGAATTTAAATTTTCAAACTAAACTCGCAGCGAGGGGTCACATCTATAAGTTGTTCCGGGAAGCCTGCACTCAACCTTGGCTTCCCACAGGAGTCGTGGGGAGGTCGCCCTGACCTCTGAACTCATCCGGGGCCCTTGAAAGGCAAGAACAGCACGGGAGACAGCACGAAGGCACGAAGAAAGCTTTGCATCTCAAGCCATTTACTCCATAACCAGCACGTTTCATCTTCAAAGCCCTTCACAAGCCATTATTAATCTTCACAACACCTTAGTGAGGTGGGTGTGTGGCATCACCAGGGTTTTATAGGGCAAGTTGGCCCAGGGCAGGCCTTTGGATGGTGAGTGACCCCAGGACATCAGCCTCAAGAAGGACCATCAGGGCACCCTCAGATTTCCCAGTCCCAAAGCAGGCCCACTCAAATGATCTTTAGAAAGTATTTCCTGCCCTGGCCGCTTTGGCTCAGCGGTTAAAGCGTCAGCCTGCGGTCCAGAGAGACCCGGGTTCGGTTCCCGCTAAGGGCACGTACCTTGGTTGCAGTTTGTCCCCGGCCCTGGTTGGTCATGCGAGTGGCAACCACTCGATGTGTCCCTTTCACGTCGATGTTCCTCTCTCTCTCTCCCTCCCACTCTATCTGAACAAAAAATGGAAGAAATGTCTTCAGGTGAGGATAAAAACTAAAAAAAAAGAAAGAAAATATTTCCTGAGGAGAGGGAAGGTGGGTAGGAGGAAGAGGCAGAAGAACTTGGGACACATGCAGAATGTAAGCCCTGGTGTTACTGTCATTTAAGTAGGTTTCCTTTTATTGGACTTATACACAGATTAAATTTTACTTAAATAACAATAACAATAACTCGAGTCTGTGTGTGTGTGTGTATTTAGCATTTTGTATGTAGTATCTCAGGTGATTCTTATAATAGTCACTTTGTTCAATGCATGTTTATTGAGCACCTACTTTGTGCCAGGCTCTGAGAGGCCAGGGGTTGGAGTAGTGAAGAAGACAGATAAGAGCTGCACTCAATGAGCACACAGTCTAGTGTAAGAAGCCCTTTAAGGCAGGGTCACTATTATTCCCCTCCACCCTCTTTTAAACAAATGATGGAACTGAGTCTGAAGGTCACACGATGAGTGATGGGTGGGGGTTGAACGCATTCCCAGGTTTGGTTGATTTCGAAGCTTCTGTTTCAGCCAAGTACAAAGACACTCATTGCAGCAAAGTTTAAAATAACAAAAAACTGGAAGCAAATTGCATGTCCATTAGTAAGGAAATGGACAAATAAAATGTGGGAAATGCATGAGATGAAATGTTTCACCAGTTCAAGGGAATGACTTACATCTACTGCTGATAATGTCAAAAGAAAAGAGTAAGAAGCAGAATTAGATGTATAACATAATGTCATTTGCATAAAATTTAAAAAGCACACTCAAAGCAATGCTATATGTTTACATATATGTGAATAAAGATATAGAAGATGGATTGAAAGGCCACACATTAAATACTCAAGAATGGATGCCTTGGGGGTATGGGCAGGGTTATGAATTAAGGGTGGGGACCAAAAAGAGGGGAGGTGTCATGCTAGATGAAGACAGAGACCGAGGGACCTGGCTGATAGGCTCAGTTCTCGTACATGCCCCTCCAGGGTCCCTCTAAAATTAATAACACCACAAGACACACACATCATCTGCTCTTTTATAGACTGTATTCTCTCCCCTTAATCTGAGTGTGGGAATTGCCTGTCGAACCTGAAGCAGCCAAAAATCTAAATGAAAAACAGGAACAAAAAGAGCAAAATTTAAAAACCAACTTGAGAAGTGAACAGTGTCTGGGTTGCAAATGGGTGCTGTCGAGCATGTGTGACAGCATCGTGGAGCAGAGACCAGAAGCAGCTGAGCCGTGAGCCCTGCGTGGCTGAGCCTGCCCCACGGACCCGGTCAGCCACGATGCCACAGAAGCCACGAAGCAGCCTGAAATCAGAGCTGGAGATTGTCCACAGAACCTTGCTTACCAGCTTCTCAAAGCCACACTTGCTGGCTTCCTTGTTGGTTTCCTGCCATGGCAGGATCGATTCTTACAAATACGTTTCCTAGAAGTTGAACTGTGCCAGGCAAACCATGCCAAAGCAGCCTCATTTCCATGTGTGGTCCGGGTGGATTGGGAGAGGCTGTAGGCAGAGCATTTCTGGATTTCTGCAAGGCGCTTGGAGGGGTATCTCACCCACCTGCATCTCCCTAAAACACACATGTGACCTGGTCCCTTCCCTACTAAAACCTATAGGATAAATTGGGAACTCCTCAACTGTGCACATGAGGCCTTCAATGATCTGGTCTCTGCCAAATTTCCCAGCCTCCAATCCTGGTGCTCTCCCCTCCCTGTCTGCCCACCAGTTCTACAGTGCAGCCCCCACTTTCGCCCCTCAAAGATCTTGCATAGGCTGCCACTGCCAACCGGAATGCCCTTCCCTGCCTTGTTCCCATGGGTAATCTGTACTCAACCTCAGAATCAGCTGAATTTTCACATCCCCACAAAACTTCCCAGGCCTTTCCTCTCTTCTGCTCGACCTGATCAGGAAGAATTGAAATAGCAACTACACCAGTTACTCTGTGTAAAATGCTTAGGACAGTAAGCATGAGGACCAGATGTGCCTCAAAATTCAGGATTATTCTGATTTCATAAAATATATAAAGTTTATGTACTGTATTTTATAAAAGAATTCGAGCAGACTATGGAACAGGTCCCCATAATAAAACGCATTAATGTTTCTGCAAGAACCGTGTGAATATTCACATGCAAACTGAAGACTCTAAATAGTTTGACGTCAGGTTAAGTAGGGCTTTGCCACTAAACTTCAAAAAAAAAAAGTTGGTGTTGTTTTTCAGGGCATTGAAGATTTCAGAATTGTGGACCTGCATTATTTTTGTTGTTGTTGCTATTTTTTCCACCCACGTAATAACAATTCTTACGACTAATGCAAACACTTGCTATTCCCTAAGGATTATGCAAAGCAATGGGCATAAAATGATCTCATCCTTATGCCAC